TTAACCCCTTCACGGCTTGACCAATGTTTCACAATTTTTTTTTTCAAACTGTAACTAAATTGGTAATTAATAAATGTACTAAAGACATAGCAAAATATTTTTTGAATGCAGAGAATCTGTAGAATAAAAAGATAGTAGGCCTTGTTTTTTATGGTTATCCATTGTACATTTTCAGTAAAAATACACTATTATAATTTTGTGATGTTCAACTAAAAATAAGTACGGAACACTGTGTCAAGTTAATAAATGACAAATACTGTATATCCAAACTCCAAATTGAACAGGCTTGCAAAACCACAAAAAATATTACCGAAAATTGCAAATAAGTAATGCATTAGAAACCTTTTACAACTAAATTATAGCTCTAAAACGATTCTTTACTTTTCTTTCTTTCCTTCCTTCCTTCTTGTGGGAATCGGAATTTGTCTTTATGTCAGCTGTTAAAGCAGTAGTAAACCACCAAAAAAAAAAAAATTTACTCTGCATAATAATGTCATAAGGTGCTAATATGCAGCAGGAGTCTCGGCAGCGGCACAGAGCGCTGAAGGAACGGCATTGTTATGCATGTTTAAGAGATATTCCTTGTACCTACAGGTAAGCTTTATTATAAGCTTACCTGTAGGTGCAAGTGTCCAGTATGAGTTTACTTCTATTCCTTGTTCAATGGCACTCAGACTAGGAGAGGGAGTACATTACTAGGAGCCAATAAGACTCTGCTGCATGCACATCGTTGAATATGTACTTACTGGCAGTTGGAGAGAATAGCATGTAGCAGCACGTGTCAATGTCTAGGTTCACATCTGTGCGGGTGGTGCCGCTGCAGATCCGCACAAAAAAACGTGCATCCACAATACCCACATAGAGGAATATGGACCCACGGGCGGGTGTCATTCATTCTAATAGCATGCCACCTGCACTGGAAGTCGCAACTGTACTGGGAATCTCGGTTGCGTTTTCCAAAGAAGTGCATGTCCTGGGGCACAGGAGTCTATTCAAATAAATGGGCTCTTGTGTCCATGCAAAACGCGACCTGCACGGCCACAGATACAGTAGGGCAAAAAAGTATTTAGTTAGCCACCAATTGTGCAAGTTCTCCCACTTAAAAAGATGAGAGAGGCCTGTAATTGGCATCATAGGTAGACCTCAACTATGAGAGACAAAATGAGAAAAAAAATCCAGACAATCACATTGCTATCCTTTACGGGTTACCGGTAATGGTGAATACAGTGGTGAGAACATAACATAAACATATGAAATATAACAACACACAAAAACATAGGCAAAGTTAGTACATATGTACATTAATGTCTATGAATACTTACATAGTTACATAGTTGGTGAGGTCAAATAAAGCCACCAGTCCATCCAGTTCAACCTGTGTGGGTGTGTGTGTGCTCATGTCAAAAATTCATATCCTTATATCCCTGTATATTGTGTTCACTAGATGCCCATCCAAGAGTTTTTTTTTAAACTATCAAACACTTCCTGCTGACACCACAGATTGTGGAAGTGAGTTTCACAACCCCATACACAGTTTAAGGCTAAACTGCTTGTACTCCAATTTCATTGAGTGGCCCTGTGTCTTCTTATACTCCCTGAGACAGAATACTTTACTCCTCATGCTAGAATCACCACTGAGGTATTTGTATATCGCTATTGTATCTCCTCTCAAGCATCTCCTCTCCAGGGAGAATAAGTTTAATATTGGTAGTCGTTCCTCATAGCTGAGGTCCCCCAGGCCCCTTATTAACATTGTTGCCCTTCTCTGGACTCTCTCCAGCTCTATCTACTTAGATGCACTTATGCACACAGGAGGGAAAAGGATAATTTTTCGGCACTTTTGTTTAATTCTAAAGCAGTGGGCTGTAATAGTTTTTAATGTATTGCCCATTTACAATTATTAGCTATGTTTGTTTTTTTTGTCATTTTATAAGCTGATGTCACAGAGCCACTCTGGAAGGATCCCGATCCACGTGGGTGCTGGTCGACAGCTGGCTCAGCATCTCAGCTTGCTGCTGACAACTCTTCCCAGTCTGGCACTCTAGAGAGGCAGAGCAGAAAGTAGTGACTGACAGTCACAGCTCACTGCTCCAAGTCCAAGCGGGCTGAGAACTGAGCGATTAATGGTCATGTGACTGTAGTAATGATTCAACCTTGACAGATATTGATTGTGATATAGTAACTATAAGAATTATTCAAAGTTGACAGACATACAGTATGAAATACAATGGAAAGGTATCCCACCTGTAATCACGGCTGTAATGGGAAACATTGCCCGCTAACCCCCTCTCTGACACACCTTTAGATGTTTAACACTGTCCTCAGGTAGCTCACCAAAGATTATGTATGATCAGTATTTATTAGGTTTTTAAGCCAAAATGGGGGTTATTTACTAAAAGTGCATGGTGAAAAATCTGCTGCAGCTGTACATAGAAATTAATCAGCTTCAAGGTTTTATTACCAAAGCTTAATTGAACAAGCTGAAGTTAGAAGCTGACTGGCCACCATGCACAGCTGCACAAGTTTCTGAGTGGTCCAGTTTTAGTAAATCCCCCCCAATGTGTCAACAATATAAAAATAAGGTGGGGGTATTTAATATATGATATGTTATACAATAGAAGATCTAACAAGACAGGTATGTAATAGCCTCCCTAGCGGTCTGATTATGTAAGTATTTCTGTGCTACATTATTTTGCATGGAAATATGTATTTTTTTATTGTAGGCCTGTAATTTTTAGGAATAACTCACTGAAATCTGTCCGAACAAGAGTCTAGTAAACACCCCGGGTATGTTAAAATTTGAAACACGAAATCATAAATTATAATTAAATAAATAATCATAAAAAATAATAAAATAATAATAATAAATTTAATTCAATAAAATAATCAAACTAAAAACACTGAAAGTTGAAATATAGCGCCAAGTTCGCACATCACTGAGCAAAGTTGCAAAATCGTTTTCAGTGTCTGATGACGAATTTTCCCACTAATCATTATCACTCAATTCTGCTTCAATTCTTCTAAAACCACTTTTGACCTAAAGGGACGCTTTTTGGACACCATGGACGTTTCTCAGTTTCCAGGCAGATAGAACAGTAAAAATGCAGGCAGGGCACAGGACAAAGCACTAGGGACAAAATGTATGTGAAATACTTTGATACAGTAATGTCTTACTATGTGATTTTAGTGTATTTAGTAAATGTCACTTTTTCACATTTTTACATTTCCCGCCAGTTCCATCCCCGTACGTCCTGACGTCGCAGGGAACGGAACCCAGATGACAGATGCCGGCATCGGCCGGAGGACATTGCCAGGGACCCTGCAGGGGGGACATCGCGGGAGCGAAGGACAAGGTAAGTGAAGAAGGGATCCCGGAGCAACGCTGCAGGGTATTCCCAAGTCTAGCTCGGGGTTACCGCTTGTGATGCTGAAACTTTACCCCAGCTAAACTCGGGAATACCTCCAGGGAGGTTAATTACCATCAGCTTATTACATAATTACTGGCACAATTAAATATGTTAGGCACCAAGAGTGTTTGTGCACGTGTCATGGAGCGTAAGGAGGACGTCAAGTGACGAAATGCGTAGGGTTGAGCCTTGGAGTGACGTCACCACGCCCAGTGAGCTGTCGGCGTCAGCTGACTCCTAAGTAGGCTTTTTTGAATTTGTGCAAGATATGCTGTCTAATCTAGTATCGGCTTTGATACTACGGAATGTGAGTGTAATACATGGACTGTTTTTATGAATAAAGTTATCATACGATTTTAGACTATTAGTTTTCCTCTCTCTTTTATGAGTATTATGTCAAGAAGATATTCATGTTCATGAATCACTTCCCTATTGTCGGCTATCAATCTGCAAATTGTTGCTCCCAGAGCGAAAGCGTGTGTGCTGGTTTATAATTTGACCGGCATGTTGCTTTGGTGCGTTTATTTCATTCATCTGGTGGAGTTTTCACATTTATTTTAAGAATTAATAGTTTGGAGCACTGAAGTTAAAGTTTTGTTCTTCATTATATCGCACATTGGAATTTGATTGACTTATAAAAAGTTTTTGTTTTTTTTGTTTTTTTTTTCACTTATATTTTTTATATTTTTATATTTAAGGATATTATTATTGGACACTTTTTTTGATGTTTTTGATTGATTTATATATATTTTTTTATGACACTGGATTATGTATTAATTAGTTTATATTTGCAATTAAGATTATAGTTTTGTTTTTGATACACTTTTTTTTCACTTTCTGGGTATATATAAAATATATTTTTTCTTGTTGATGATTTTTTATGAACATAGATAATTTGGTTAGAGCGCTACCTTTTTTCTATTTTATGTCACATATATTAATTTCCACATTATATTTCCATTACTTCCAGCCTACTCCTATTAACCACTTCAAGTCCGGACGCTTTTACCCCCTTCCTGTCCAGGCCAATTTTCAGCTTTCAGCACTGTCACACTTTGAATGACAATTGCGTGGTCATGCAACACTGTACCCATATGAATTTTTTTAGCATTTTTTTTTAGACAGATAAAGCTTTATTTTGGTGGTATTTATTCACCACAGGGATTTATTTTTTTTGTATATGAAATGAAAAAGTCCAAACATTTTGAAAAAAAGTGTTTTTCTTATAAAATTTTGCAAATAAATAATCTTTTTTCATAAATCTTGGCCAACATTTATTCAGTTATCTTTTTAGTAAAAAAAGAAATAACCCAAATTAGTTTATAACCAACAATTATAATACAAAAACATTTTTGTTACTTTTTTTTATATTATTATTTTATTTTATATTATTATTTTTTTTATATTATTATTTATGGGTTTTTTTTTGTATACTGTCACCCTAGCAGTACAGTGTCACCATGGTGACACCGTACTACTTGTGGGGGGTTATGAAGATTAAAGGCTGTAAAAGCAATCATTTCTCCTCTCTGGCTGCATTCTTGCAGCCATTGAGAAATACTGTGTGAGCTTTGATTAGTCACAGCTTGTCACATGGTACAAGGCTGTTGTGAATAGCCTTGTATCATGTGACCTCTGTGATCATTCACAGATTTCACACGTAGTAAGCAATGATGTCAGAAGTGACATCTTGCTTACTACTCTTCATGTGAGCACTGATTGGCCAATCAGTAATCACATGATCGGGACCTCGCACAGAGGTCCCATACAATGATCGGTGTTCCACTGTGTCCGGAGGACATAGCGGGCACCAGATCGCGGGGCTGCGTGCTCCCAGGGAGCGCGCACAAGCAGGTGGTGGGGAGGCCATTTATAAACGGCCACTCGCCCCTGCACTGCCACCGCCCAGCCATTTATTTACAATGGCCGGACGGGAAGTGGTTAATATGAATGATTCTGACATTTTGTACATTTGCTTTGTGAAGATCCACACACATTTACTTCCTTGAATTCTGTGACAGGTATTCACTATGTTCTGTTGAAAGACACTGCTGAGTCACACATTTCACAGAGCCTGCCTACTGAACTACAGAGGTGTTGAGGGGGGGAGGTGTTTCAAGAGGCGGAGTCAGCACAGGAATCAGTTTGCAGGCAGCAAGGTACCATGGGATACGTAGTCCTTAGAAATGGACCATAAACTGCAGAGGAGAAGCTGAAATGCATGAAGGAATGCAGGAAGGTGTGGAAAGAGATGACCAGCAGCCAGGCATAACTCACAACATGAAAAGAAATCTTTCAAGTAAGCTTATATTGAATTGTCAACTATATATGAACTACTTTATTGTTTGTGTTGTTATTACAATGCTGGTGTTATAAAATAAAAGTGTATGCTGTGATCATAGATTACCTTTAGGTTCTGTGCTGACATCTAGTTGAAGCAGTCATTTAGGGGAGTATATGATTCTTTGAAAAGATCTGTCTGCAAACTGTTGACTCATTTTCAAGGAGAGAACTATACAATTTTTCATCAGTTTAGACAATCACTGCTGGCTGCAGACTGAGATGGAAAGGTCATTTTTAACAACGTTAATTAAAGTGCACCTAATCCAAAAAACAAAACTCTAATATTTCAGTTTACCATGCTTACAGTATATGTAGTGGAGGCAATAGTTTTCTTTTTATTCTCCCCCTTATGTTCAACTGGTAACCCTCCAAATGCATAACTCACTTATTGTCCCTTCAGGTCTACACTAATCTCTCTATTGTATCTATGGGGACTGCAATGGTTGTCATACAGGCTGGACCTCAACCAGGTTGCCTTTGTTTATGTCCATGACATGGTGGATTTATAGAACTAGTATTCCACACAAAAAAAGATAACGTTCTTTGTGCTTTCTTATAAGTTTACAGGAAGTGACAAGGACACTGCATTTTCTGGCAAGATCAACAGGTAGTTTCTGTACTTGATGAAAATGTTCTTATCCTGAAACATGAAAACAAACACAACCACCACATCTAAGAATTGGTAAGCTGCACTATATAAAATTTTTGGTTTTGGATTTAGATAAATTTGGGGTTTAGATATGCTTTAAGTGGTTGTAAAGGCAATTTTTCTTTTCTAAAATAACCAACATGCTATACTTACCTGCTCTGTGCAATGGTTTTGCACAGAGTGGCCCCAAACCTCCTCTTCTGGAGTCCCCTAGAGGCTCTCCAAGCGCCTCCTCATCTGTGAGTGCCACCATAGCAAGGCGCTTGCTAAGGTGGCACACCTGCAGGCTCACTCCCGAGCTGGGCTGTGTGCAACTTTAGACACACACAATGCGGTTCGGCCCCAGCCCTCACTCCCTCCTCACAGGATTTGACTGACAGCAGTAGGAACCAATGGTTCCTGTGACCTGTGACCTCCTGTGTCCTGTGAGGAGAGGAACAGAGAGCAGTGCTTCTGCAGATGGGCACAGCGCTGGATTGAGATAGGAGGTGAGGGGGTGAAACTAATACTGGGAAACACTTTTTACCTTAAAATGGAACTTTACTCTCTCAATAAACATTGACTATTTTTAATCTTCATGCGGCTAGCATTAGTAAATAGATATGAAAGTATATTTACTTCTTTTAATTTTCTTTTTAACATTTCTTTAGCTGCTTCCTGCTTTCCATGCCTAGGCAAATGATGTCATACATCCCAGGAGTCTTCAGGATGGGAGGGTGGGTTTCTCAGCTAGGCACACTCTCCTTCCTGCATGCCTGAGCCAAGGGCAGATGGATTCCAGGAAGTAAATGCTACATAAATCATATGCCCTTACTCAAGATGGTGACCTTCAGAAATGTTAGGGATTGTTTTTCAAAGTGATTCATCAGCGAAATAAAGCATGGAGACATGGGTGGTTGGTTGAGTTTGCTTTGAATATTAAGAATGAATTAAATTTTGTTTTTGGTTTGTGGTGCTCAGATGCAGTGTAGTTCCACTTTAATGCAGGGAATGCATTAAGGCAAAAAATGTCTTGTCTTTACAACCACTTTAAAAGTACAAAATCAATTCTGTAGCAATTATAAATGTTACCGGTGTATGGATTTTTTTTAAACAGGAATTTTTCTATTCCTTTCAAAAAAATTTCAGTAATGAACAGAAAGGGAAACTATGATATTATGAAGCATTATTTTGTTTTTGTTCACTGTAATATAATCCATTTAAATTGCTTTCTGTCACAAAATCAGTTGCCAGAATGCAGTTTAAAGTAGGTAAAAAAGAATTTGCCATTCTAGGAATGGAACTGAACTCCACCATGACATTGCTGCTGACCACTCTTGGATATCCACATTTTATCCTTTAAGTGCCTTGTAACAGCCAACCCTGCTCACCGATTTCATCTTCACAGTATATTTATATTTCAAACTGTTGAAACAAAAAGTGGTAGACGTGTATAAAACATACTGTAATTGTGATAATTACGGGGTATTATGTGCTAAAAAGATTGTTCTAATGTAGATCCTGAAATCTGACTAAATTGCATGGCATTAATTTTGCAAGAGCTCTGCGCTATTTCAATGAGGAGTAGGCAATGAAAAGGAATTTAAACATGGTTTGAAGACAAGTTTAATACAAAGGAGAGGCTTTACAGACAAAGCCTATGATAATCTAAGGTTGAGTTCACCCTAAAAAATATTAGAGATTGTCATATTCATAATATAGCTAATTACTGATTACTTGTATTACTTTTCATTTCTCCAGAATAAGATAGAAAGAAAGAAAAATTCACTTAAAAGGAACATAGGTCTCATAAGTATGAAATTATGTTAAATCTATTGCTATTTCCAGAGTTTGTTTAAAATCAATTAAACTTACAAAAATAGTTATACAATCAGATAGATATTGTAGTAACAACCTCCATTTTTCAGGCTTTCCTCCATTTTCCTGTAACAGCAGTTGTAAATATGAGCTTTAAAGCTGAACTCCAGAATAAGTAAATACATTGGGGGTTATTTACTAAAACTGAAGAGTGCAAAATTTGGTGCAGCTCTACATAGAAACCAATCAGCTTCCACTTTTTATTGCCAAAGCTTAATTGAACAAACTGAAGTTAGAAGCTGATTGGCTACCATGCACAGCTGCTCCAGATTTTGAGTGCATCGGTTATAGTATATCTACCATAGTATGTCTAAATACAAGAGGCTTGTGTATTCTTACTAGAGTCATGGTGTGTTTTGTGTATTTATTGCAGATCTGTGCATTGACCCTGTGTGAAACTTTGTCTCTTTACAGGGGCTTCCTGTAACAAAGACCAATCACAACTGTTGTCTCTCCTTGTGCAGGATGACTGGTCTCATCTTCGCCCCTTCCTGTAGTAAATGTGAAATACAAAACACAGCGCAAAAAAATATAAACAATAAAAAAAAATAAAAATTAAAAAATATAACAAAAAATTATATAAAAAAATATCCAAATAAATATATGTGCCAAAATGAAAAGTAAAAAGTCCCAATTCAAAGGATGAAAAGATGTTCAAATCCAATGTGCTCCAAACTCAACACAACGGTGCTGTATACAGAAATTTCAGTGTGTTAACACCATCCATGACATTCAACATATACTGCACTCACCAGATATATTGGACTCTCTGTAATGTTCAAGATAGCATATAAACGACAGCATTTAGGCCTAATGTAGTGGACAACACAGCATATAAGGTGAAACAGTCAGGGCAGTATAATGTGCAACATAGAGGTTAATATACGAAAGCTGGAGATTGCAAAATCTGGTGAAAACTCTGCATAGAAACCAAATAGTTTCCATTTTATTTTGTCAAAGCTTAATTGAACAAGATGAAGTAAGAAACTGATTGGCTATCATGCAAAGCTGCACCAGATTTTGCACTCTCCAGGTTTAGTAAATCAACCCCATAGAGTGTAGGTTGCAGTGGTCAAGATTATCTACATATAGAATATAGCAGTCAGAACTGTGTAACATACAATGTAGTATATGGTGTGATCAGGACTATGTATATTGCAGCATACTTTATAAAGTATAGTAGTCAGGACTTTGTAACATACAATATAGTGTTTTGGCACCCTTGAGAGTGCAGGGAACAAGACTATATAATGTTGAAATGAGCATATAAAGTACAGTTGGCATGACTATGTAGCGTTTCCTTATGCAAACAGTGCAGCAATCAGGACTATGTAACCTACAACATTGTGAGCATATACGTAGAGTACAGCAGTCAGGACTTTGTAGATTTTTATACAGTGCAGCAGTCAGGACTATGTACTGTACAATATAGCACATACAGTGCAGCAGTCAGAATGTGCAGGGGTCAGAGGTCAGGACTATGTAATTGCACAAAACAGCTTGCACAGTGCTCTGGTCAGGACAAAGTGTCCTCTCGTATTAGTTCTTAGCATGCCACCTCACACTAGTGCTTAGCATGCTCCCTTACATTGTGGTTACTGTTCTCCCTTACCTTGGTGATCAGTGCTCAGTATGCTTTCTTATATTGATTTTCAGTTTTCTGTGTGCCCTCTTATGTTGTTGGTCAGTGTTCAGGAAGTCCTCTTACATTGGTGGTCAACACTCAACAAGCCCTCTTACATTGATGGTCAGTGCTCAGGAAGTCCTCTTACATTGGCGGTCAGCACTGAACAAGCCCTCTTACATTGATGGTCAGCACTCAGGAAGTCCTCTTACATTGGTGGTCAGCACTCAACAAGCCCTCTTACATTGATGGTCAGTGCTTAGGAAGACCTCTTACATTGGTGGTCAGCACTCAACAAACCCTCTTACATTGATGGTCAGCGCTCAGGGAGTCCTCTTACATTGGTGGTCAGAGCTCAGCAAGTCCTCTTAAGTTGGCCATAGATGGATCAAATCTCAGCCGGTTCAGCAGGGACTGGCTGAGATTCGATCCATTTATGGGCTGGCTGATTGTACCCAAGTCGATCCATAAAACCAGCCTGTTG